ATTTGCAGCTAATTTGTTGACCCCCCAGCCTCCTTAAAATTCTAAGCACGTGTTTAGCTTAATGATTTTCATTTTGAAATCAAAATAAGTACAAAACTATCAGAGTCGTGTACTTACTTTAATTTTAAAATAAAACCACTCAACAACACATATAGTCATTTTTACTACAAGAATTCTGTGCTTTTCGGCGGTACGTTAGTACATGTAATATGAAAACACATAACTCAAGGAACAATAATTATTACAAACGTAGCCTTGAAGCCTAGTGCATAGCTGTTTCGGCATGTAGACAATAGAGATGTAATGCTAATTGTTCTCGCGAAAACACATCTGTTAGATAATGGCGAACGACAGAAGTTCAAATTCCGTAGGTGCATTTCTTTTGTGCTGCAATAAATACATCAATTAAACCTATCATAAAATCCGTTATTTGCCGGAAACGCAAATATTTCGATCCAACAGCTCTCCGTGTGCATTGTGCAGTCGTGTCACATCCAAGAAAACCTCCCAACTGAGAGCTTAAGAGCAAAAGGACTGCGTAGGGTTTCTAGTGGTGTTAAATTAATAACCCTGGTTAATAGATAATAGTAACGCATTTTGTAGAATATCGACGGATCCAGGTTTGTCAGAAAAAATGCAAAGTGACACTTCTGGTGAAAAGGAATCACTACAAGATGTAGTTTGACGTCATCATCAAGACCTGGAACTCGCGCCAAAATCTACAACTAATTAACCAAGAGATCCGTTGGGCATTACGAGAAAATATCGAGATTGTGCCGTAAGACCTCGGCAAACTGTTGTCTTATTTTCGGTGCTTACTCGATAGTTCTGTGTTTTTGAGAGGTGTTGCCATTACTTTTTAAATAGATGTGCATTACACATAATGTTCTAAGAATGCGTAACCAATTGTAGCTTGGACATCGTTTTAATTTCAAATCATTTTCATACAGGTATCCTTTTAAGCTGGCTTTTTATTGGATCTTTAATAATTATACAGTTTTTTTTTCCAAATGCCATGATTTTGTACGAATATGCCCCATTTTGGCAGTTTATTTGCATTTCGCCTGCTCATCTAAAATCCATCATTTCTCTCAGAACATTTGAAGCTAAAAATAATAAGTGCATTTTCTCGGTTGAAAGATACAATGAACGATAAAACAGTGTTCCAATATGACACTTTGTCAATAAACCTCTCACCTCGATATAGGAAAGTGGTGCAATCTGGCGTCAACAGAGCTTTTTTTGTTCTCAGAAAACGAATCAAATTTAGTCTGATGAAAATAATATTCATTAAATTTTCAATGTACATGTACATATTTAAAACGCAAATAAATTTGTTTTCTCATATATCATATTATCATATTTTAGTTGATTGAAGATAAAATTTGGAAATAAAATTCTATAAAAATACATCACTATATTGTAATCGTATAAATATTCCCTTGTACGGAAATTTATAATTTATTTCATTTCATTTCTTTGTATACCATATTGTTGATCTTAATCTATAAGCCTGACCTAGTTTCAAATCATTTGTAAGCAAAATAACAAATAATTTTTTTTCAATTTGGTGTAGTGCTTCGAAATTCAATTAAACAAGTTCGAATTCTTGAATTATTGATGTCGATAAATACTGTACATCTAGAAAATACCTAGCTAATTGGCTGGCGAGCGAGATAACTCAGTATGCTCTGATCAATGCTTGGGCTCGGATTTGATCGAATTCAATATACGGTCAATTATTGAGTTCGATCCATTTCAATTTTCATGCATAATAAATGTGTCAAAATGCTCCCTGTGTTGCAAAATTTTTTTTATTTTGTATGAAAAAGTTTTTATGATAAAATATACATACAATTTTCTGGTCTCATGTAAAGAAATGATTATTTGTTTACTGGATCTGATGTTTGATTTCTGTTGAAATAAAATCTTAACAAAATATTGAATGTTTAGTTATCAGTCGGTAAGTTTAATTCTATGACCAATAGCATGGACGATATTTTGATTGAAATGTTTAGCAGATGTCAATTAAAATAATGAATAGGACGAATTTATTTATTTTCCTAGCACTTTAGTTTCGTTTTTGAATAAACCTAATTCTTTCACAAGCTAATTCAGAAGAGTAGCGTCGATCGGTATTATAATTTTATTAAAAGGAGGGCTTTTCAAAGTTTTTATGTGTATTTTTAGTAATTAGAAATTTCTTGGAATACCTTCATATTTCAACTCTTGATTTGGGAAATCTAATTTCTTTTGCAAACTTATAAACATTTTCACCTTGACCATACAATATAACTTTTGATCGGTTGTTGCTAGGACGTTTATATTTCGTATGCATTGACAAACATCTTTTTAAATATATAATTGAAGTCTTCTTTGATTATAGAGTTTGATTTAATTTAAGGGGGAAAAATCAACATTGGACATACCTTTTGAACGGTTGAATCTATGACTTTAATATGTCTGAAAAGTCCATGGCCTGCCGTTTCCTTGGGTACAGAGTACCAACATGTTTCATTTCCCGAACTCGGCCATGGAGTTTGACCTACAACTGTATAAAATAAAAAAATTAACCTGTCTGTATTTTCTGGGGGTGGTTTTAGATTCTTTTTTATTTAACTAATGCAATCCTAGCTATTGACATGGCATTTCCTTTGGTACCAATATATTCAAAGGACGTTGTCTCAGATTCGATGGGGCCGAGAAACAAATCCCAGATATCCAAAGATTCAAGATACAATGTGTCAAGGGTAACAGAATTTAAATAACTTTGACATATCCATGATATCTTTGGTGGATATACAAAAGTTCCACTGCGGATTTTTCATCATGACCTTGACCTATAGTAGTATGATCTACTTTTGAAAAAAAATGGCATTTTTCTGAATGTTACTATTATGGTTATTTGTCCCTTCAGACAAGAATTTTCAAGGGGTACGTGTACCAATTTTTTTTTTTTTTATCTTTTGACCTTGGAGTTTGACTTTCTTTTGTCAAAATTAACTTTGGCTTTGAACTGCCATACGGGGCATCAATATTTAATAACATCTTAATATTAAATGATTCTAATATAGCATGTATATGTTTTAAATTTAACGAAATATAGGAGAAAGGAAGGCTAAGCAATGAAGCTTGCCAAAGTCACTAAAATTCGGAAATTATTTTATCATTACGACATCATATATATACGACAAATTACTAGTATGTGAGACATAATTTCCTCTTTATATATGTAATTTATTTACTTCTTGAAAGAAAAATGTAAAGAAATATTGATACTCTCTGCTTTAGGATTTTAAAAAAATGTTTCTTTTATTGCTTTATTCTTAAAGAACGTCTAACATTTCTGTTTGTAACGGTCGGTGAATTGCTGGACCACTTTAAGTCACACTTTATTTGCATTCGTTAATCTTCAGCTTACGTTGGATCATCCTACTATCTGACTAGCATTCGTTGATGTATATAAATACACATCACAAATGCGTACTTCAGTGCACTTTTTTGAAAACTGAGCACATGCACATGCACTTACATCTTCAAATAAAACAGGTGCGCCAGTTTTAAATTTGAAAATTGCTATTTAGGATGAATTCATTTTACGGTAATATTTCCCTATTATAAGTCATATATCACACGTCAAACATCAATTTTTTTGCTTAATAAACCGAAAAGCTTTTTCAAAAGCTCGAAGAGAAGCATATGCACTTTCTCTTAGAAAGCTTGTTTTTGTAACGGTAATCTTCAGCTTGAATTTTTTTTTACAATTTCCATTTATAGTTTATTAAATTAATAATTATTTATTTGTTCTAGTATTTTGAAACCGATATGCCCAAAATGTATATATATTATTTTTAGCTCCTAAAATTTATTCACTAGGTTTTAGGTTACTGTTTTTCAATATCATTCGAGATTTGCCGTCGTTGTACATGCAGGACTTTACATAATTGTCTCCCTTGCGAGATGGTGTGTACATACAACTAAAAGCATTTATCGGCGCCCCCGCCAGCTAATATATTTAAAAGTCTGTTTAAGGTACCAAAGGGATTAAAAAATATATATGCTTACGATTAATAATGCATATGCATGACACGCTTTTAAGGTTTTAGCATGTTTCTCTGACTGTGCAAGGGGTTTGCTTTAAAAAAAAGGACATATACTATAGACTCCTTCTGCTTTATTTTGGTTATCGGCGACGACGAAGATTGATTTTATTCTGTTTAAATCCAATCTAATATTTACAATATATTGACTCTCAGGTTGCTCTTTAATTTCAGAGCTAGAGTATAGAATTTTCTTTGAAACTCAAAATTGATACTTATGCATAGAAGAAAATCGATATTTCGACAGGTGGTCTCGAAATTGATTAAGATTTTATTCAAATGTTGTACAGCGTAGAAACAATTAAAGATGTAAACCTACATATGGACGAATTTGAGTTTCTCCGGATATCACAATGTAATTGTTGCGGTATCGATTTTCTATTTTGTACACCCCTTGGGCAGATGGTACTTCCTGTCTCAAAGTAACATGTAGCTGCATTACCGAGAACCATATACTTTTATTATGAAATATAGATCCAGCAAATGTTCGAAGGGAAATCAACACCAAGCAAAATCAATACGCAAGGAAAACAATTTGCTTTATTGAATATTTTCGTCTATTCAATTTAAAAATGTGCGAATTTTGCAGCTGACTGGGATCATCGGTCTTGGATGTAATATATATATATATGAATCTGTGCTTCCTCGATAAAGAGATGTTGAGTTTGCGCTTCCGTTTAATATTTGATGTATCTCCTTAATATTTAATCACAGTAGAAGATTAGCTCCCACTGAGCCCGTACTCACGGCAATATTTTTCAGCTTGAATGGTCTGTCCGGTGAATTCTTATATACAGTTTTGTGCATTTTTAAAATATTGATTGGGAAGCGAAATGTTCCGTAGCAAGCGAATAATAAATAATAGTAGAAAAAATCAATGGTCTATATCAGCACCGTGTACATTAGCACTGAGCGAAGTATTATAGAAAACGGTCTAAAAATACCACTCACTCTCCTTGAGTCGTGTACCCGTGGCAGTATCAAAAATGTCAAACGTGCTTCAGTTTAAATATGATAGGGGATACCTTAACGTTGGTAGGTGAGTTAACTCCCCTTTCCTGAAGATGAACTAATTGTGTCTACCCCGGCTGATTGTATACGAGCGGTATATCGATCGCCTGTCTGTACAGCACGGCGTTGTTCCGTATGTTGTAACGAGAGGCAGAAACTACAAAACAGAATTTTCTATTGTATGCAGAACGAAGGCACGCAGCGATGGAGGCGAATTCTCCTCCTCGTCTTCTCAGCACGGAGTAAAGTTTAAATCCTTAATCATTTTGGGAGGCCAAATTAAGACCAAGGGAATTTTATATGTAATTCTACGTAATATGGATACAACGGACGTGATATGTAAAAGTTGTGAATGGAAGATTTAATCAGCGTTTGCTATGGATCAGTGGGTTAACGTTGGCGGAACGTGAGATGGTAAGGTGGTCATGTTTGGCGTTTATTTTGGAATAGGGTCATTGTCTGCATGACCTTTTGTACTATAACAAATTAAATATCCAAAATTGTTTTCATTCCAAATTTTGAGTCTCTTTCACCGAGTAAGGGGAACGTAATGGCGTCGGTTGCAGCATGGTTGCCTTTTGCCCGGGCCTCGGCGATTGGGTGGGTACCCGTTGCCTCAAATCCCCTCCCTCCTCCCATGGTCAGACAGGAAGACAGGCGAGGGGATGAGAAAATCACAATCAATGTTAGTGGGAGGGTTTTTGAAGTATGGCGGACGACATTAGAAAAATTCCCTGACACTCTTCTAGGCTCTAACGAAAAAGATTTCTTTTACGACGAAGAATGTAAAGATTACTTCTTTGACAGAGACCCCGAACTTTTCCGACATATACTGAACTACTACCGAACTGGAAAGTTACATTACCCTAAACACGAATGTCTTGCGGCTTATGACGAGGAACTTTCATTTTTTGGGATTCTTCCCGATCTCATAGGGGACTGTTGTTATGAGGATTATCGCGACCGAAAACGAGAAAACCAGGAACGACTTATTGACGACAAGAACTCTGAAAATGGACACCTAGAGCCCGTGGCTAATCTCAGGGAGCGAATGTGGAGATGGTTTGAAAACCCCCACATTGGGACCGCTGCCCTGGTCTTTTACTATGTAACAGGCTTCTTTATAGCCGTGTCTGTGTTGGCTAACGTTACAGAAACTATACCCTGCGGGGTTATTCCGGGTACCCACGAAAACCCAGCGTGTGGGGAACGATATGAATTAGCATTTTTCTGTTTAGATACAGCTTGTGTGATGATCTTTACAGCCGAATATTTACTTCGCCTTTATGCAGCACCCGACAGGTGTAAATTCATGCGTAGTGTCATGAGCGTCATTGATGTTGTGGCTATTCTTCCGTATTACATAGGACTCGTCATGACTGAAAATGATGACGTCAGTGGCGCTTTCGTCACTCTTCGAGTATTTCGTGTTTTTAGGATCTTCAAATTTTCCCGCCACTCACAAGGTTTACGAATTCTAGGATATACACTTAAGAGTTGTGCGAGTGAGTTGGGCTTTCTTCTATTTTCACTGACCATGGCTATAATCATTTTTGCTACAGTGATGTTTTACGCCGAAAGAAATGTGGAGGACACAAAATTCACAAGTATTCCCGAGGCATTCTGGTATACCATCGTAACCATGACAACCCTAGGGTAAGTACAGCATAAACAATATGTTTTGGCACCATTACCTACATTGCATGACTATCTGCTATTGTTGTACACATGAATTCTGTATGCTGCAAGCAGTATAAACAAGATATATAAGCCGATGTCTTCTACCTGTCCGTCAGATGTGGGTGATTGGAATCACCATCCCCTACCATTACACGTTGTAATGATGTCAATTACTTTAGGTACAAGATGAGGTGAAACAGGTTAATTCTTGTGCATTCCTCCAATATATTGACAAAACAATTGGTTATTCCAGGCCGGTTTTTTTCTTATATTGATTTTAAAAAGAGAGAAACTTGTTTAATTTTGTATGCCAGTTCGTGACACGCGACAGGTGAACTGGACCAGTCATATGCAATACTGCGTCTTCGCGATCGGTCGACGCAGCCTTAACTTCGTTCTGGCAAAGAGCTAAAAGCTTTTAGTATCGAATTGACAAGCGCCGGAGACTTAAAACATCTGATCCCCCTGAGATCTATAATATTCTTATCATATTCAGAGCAGTCTTTCCGATTTGGGCTTTTTGCATTTTGTCGTCAGCATTTGAAGAGAACCATTCTAATTAGTCTTCTATACATTGGGTCTAATAAAATCATTCTGAGGTCTTTTATTACATTTTACCACAAAATATTTATAAGAAAGTTAAGCGGATAAAACATAATCCTACTTTATGTTTCAGCTATATGTACATGAAAGCTAACTTCTTCATTCTGTAAAGGATTATTCATTCTAATTGTCAGCTCAGAAACTCGTTCAAAATTGATTTTTGTGAGAGACTATTATTGTCACTTGTCTTACAGAAAATTAAATTCTAGAAAGAAATCGTTTATGAAGTGAACCACATGCAGGTGATTACATTGTTTATTGCATAACCTATAAGATGAAATAAACAAGAAAAAAATATCACATTAATTGCAAAAAAAAGTTTATTTCATTTTCGTGCTTACATTAGAATGAACGTTCGTGGGTTGCTTTTCATTTTAATTAACTATTATCAGCCGTAAAGATACCACCCATATATTACTGCAAGATTACAAAAGCACAAAAAAAAGAAAAGGATTATTATATCTGAGGCACTTGGTGTATGGAGGCAGTTCGATTCATTTTCAAGATTCTCTTATACTCGAAAGAGCACGCTGGTAAGAAAGTTAATATTAGAGACGGCCTGTTTAACGATTAGCATCCGACTTTGGCGTCGTTAGATTGTTCTTCAATGGATGGTGTTCACCGTTTCAGAGAAAAACAAACAAAGAATGAAGAATCAGAATATACATTATTAATTTTGCCGATATTGGATAAGTAATTCTCAGCAAAAACAAATAAAAAAAAGACCTACATCCTCGGTGCTTTGTATTAAGTCGATTGGTCGGCAGAATCCGCAGGCATATTTCTATTTTCTCCGTCTTAAAACATTGATGGTTATCTACAAGATAATCCTGTATATCTCTAATATTTTTAAAATAGAAATTGAGTTCTAAAAACAGACACGGTATGTGCAGTGCAGTAAATGGGGTGGGATATTAGATTCGAATTCAACAATAAAGTTTGTGGGGTATTTACTTTAGACAGTGTATTGTTTTGAAATTCATTGTTTAATATATATTTAGAAAGTCAGATTTGAGTTTTATGCTTTTTTTCTAACAGCGTCTAGATCTTTTCTTTTTTTCAAATAAAATTTCATTCGACTCCATTCCAATTACATGCACACCGCACTTGTACCTATATGATTTTTATGCAATACCTGTTTTTTTCCGCAAGAATTCTTCATAACAAAAAGAAAAGTGCGCTGTATGATAATTTCACAGTCAATTAAAGACTAGATAATGTTCATGAGACGGTCACAATGTATTGAACAGTCATTGATTAATTAATGATATCCATATCAATAGACATACTTAATCAGGCAATGCGGCAATTTATTATTCATAAATATATTGGTATTTTTAGAGCCGGTTCTGACCTTTCGATCCCGGTCTTGCATCACAGACTGCATGTGTGTTCATTAAGGCTCAGGATAATTGAATGCCGTGTCTATTTATAGCATCTGAAACATATGGTTTGCGTCGGGGAGTTTACCTTGAAAAATGTTCACAATCTGCAGCTAGTTAGGGGTATACAAAATGTGATGTACTAGATGCAATAGAATCTTATAATAAGGGGGTCAGCAGTCATTATTTTCGATAAGCTGGAGTACATATTGTTCATTACTTGTGTGATTAAAAGGATTTTTTTACATGAAATATTACATATATTTTTTTATAACATTATTTAATTCATGTATTAATATTTAGATATACCATTTTTTAAATATATAAGACTTGTGAAAATCCTAGGAAGAAAAAATATGTCAAGTCGAAAATATTTCTAGGAAACATTTAGTCTTTGATGAACAATGGTGGTAGTAATTCTTTGTGCATCATTCTAATCCCAATTTGATCACTATATGTGTGGAAATTTAAATAAGACCACTATCTAATCAATTTCTTCTTTAATTATTTAAAAAGATACGAAAATTAAGAATACTGTTAAACGAACCCCCTAACAAAAGTTTTACTTTCAATAACAATTTTGACTACACTGATTTATCTTATCTACATACAATGTACATATACTAGTCAAAATTTCTAAGTCCCCGGGCAAGTTTTTGCTTTACATCGCTCTTATATTGAATTATTTATCAGTTTAATTTAATAAGTGTACAGAATAAAAAAAAGTAGCAAAACAATTTTTCTCACTTTTTTTTTTATTTTTTATTTATTTTTTTTTTATATTTATTTATTTCACAAATGCATGTACAATAAAGTGAAACAACAAATCAGCAATTATTTTATATATACATTGCAATGAAGCAAAAATCTTAGGATTGCTGATTGAGAGGAAAGAAAGGAAAAGAAAGAGAGAGTGAGGAGAGAAGCTGCTTATTAACAAATAAGGGGAAAAAACCTTGTCAGTATAAACATTTATTTGATCTGATACACAGTTGTTGATTCTAAAATCGAGCAAAATTGTCAGAGCCTTCTCATTATAAAAAGCCAAATTTCCCATTCTTTATGAAAATCTTCAAGTTTACAGTTTTTGGTAGCTATATACTTCAAAGTTGAAAGATGAGTTTTGATATCTATAAGTAGTCCATGAATTGATAATTTTTCATTAAGACACCGCTTTTTGTATATGTAGGATTTTTCTCACTTAATTTATTTTATTGAAGCACTTTAACACAATATGCAGAAACGTTAAGGCACCCTAGAATTCAAAATTCACAACGTTAAATACTGCATTATCCTCCATTCCAACGAATTCACAGCAAGACAACCGTTCCTCAAAGAGTTCACGCTATTTAAGAAAAGTTCTTTTATTGAATGTATTTCTATGTGGAGACTAGGTCGTCCTATAGTTCCGCTAAATTCTGCTGCTGGAAAAGCTGTCTCACACTCCGTCTACCTTAAATTTTCCATACATTTTAGTTAAGGTTGAGATTAGGATGACAAGTGGGCCTGAAATTTTCTGCCTTGCTGACAATAGTTACATAATGTCTCATTACATGTACCATTCCAGTTTGACATTCCTTTACATGATATTTCCGGATAAACTCTAGGATGATTTTGTTGTGTTTGTGAAAATGCGATTTCTAATGATGAAAAGGAATTTAGGTATGCTTTGTAGGTTTTTCGGGCAGTAATTATAAAGGTTTTAAGTAAAATAAATTCATACAGTGAAAGGAAACAGAACTCTCGTTAACTACGACCAGCTTGGGCCATTTCAACTTCACTTGCACATTGTTGTGTGGACATACACCGCATTTTAATCAAACTTTTTTCTGTTTTTCGTTATCAATTAAAGATGGAGAACACATGGGAGTAAAAAATATGAAAAATACACCCGAAAAACATAGAAATCGAACTTCATGCTTTTTAACAAAAACGGTCACGGTCGAATAATTACACATTCGATTACAATTTTTTGGCCTTGACGGGTAAGTATTGCAAATGAAAGGCAAAATTGTAAGCAACTAGTACATTGAAGTTAAGGTTTTGAAATTTTTGAAAAAACAAAAGTGGGGACTTAGAAATTTTGACAAGTATACATCGTTCTCATTTAAAATCCATTTAAATGTAGTCACAAAGTTGCAGGCACTAATGTCATAGAAATTTATTTTAGAGACGTAGTATAACTTCATATAAAAAAGGAATAAATTTTAAAACTGAGAAAAATTTAGATTTTAGACCTCTTTCCCAGTCATTAACCATTAGGTCCTTTACATGTTTGATGTAATGCACAAACGCGAATGGTTATAACAGTAAACCTGTTTTTCCCAGTTGTTGGTATTGTGCAAAAGATATTGGTAACCCTTGGCCATTTCCATAATGGTGAACACTCAAATTACAGAATTTTACGAGAATATTTAAGTTTGTATTGAGGGCAGTTTCTATAGCTAATGTCTACGTATTGGGGTTATTTTATTTGATACCCTGGAATTTTGTGATTTATATAACAAAGTTATCTAGAACATTGACTTTAAACAGGGAGAACAGCCCCAAGGTCAGAGATCCTAATTTCAGCTCTTGAATATATTGTTCGGGTTCGGAATAAAACGATTTTCGTTTCGTTTTGTTTGCCGATTTGGTATGAAAAGGACGCTCGAACCCTATTCCCTCTCGCAAACTCGCCGAGTTTAAGTATCATTTCTATTAATTTTTATTGATTTTTAACACTAAATGCGAGAGAGAAAACTATTATCACGGTATCGTAAATAACATTGAATTGCTTATGACAGTTTTTTCGCCTTAGTAACATCTTAATGAGGGCAGCCTGGTATTGTTGGAGGCTGTCGTTTTCCTACGATATCATATATTCACTTATTTTTTTTCCCTTGCATCTTCTATGTCCATGTCCAAGAAAAATTACAGAATCAATTTATAGATGAAATGATTGAAAGGCATTTATAAGTAGGTCAACCTTCACAAGCCTCAATAATTGTT